ATTTGTCTTTTTAACTGATATCTTTATTTCAAATCAGTACTTTGCTTTACAATTAGCTCTAACACTAACAATTTTTTTTTAGATCAGTACTTCGTTTTACAATTGTCTCTTTGCTGATATCTTTGTTCAGGTCAGTACTTCATTTTACAATTGTCTCTTATCTTTGTTTCAGGTTTTTTTAAAAGAGAAACTTTGTGATAATATAGATACTTGTTGCAGCAAATATCCAAATCATAGGAGTTTAGAGGTGTTGGTAATGATTTGGATAAGTTTTTTTTTGTAAAGCTGCTTACTATTTTAAGCTCAGTTCTTACAGCTGCGAAGATTTCTATAGTCTGCCCTGTATATTAGATCTGACTATCATTAACTTGGTTCTCTGCGTTCTTTTTTATTTTTATTTTTATATTATTATTAAAATTTGTTCTTGTTTATTTTAAGAGTGTTGCTAACTTGCCCTCTAATGATATTAACTACCCTATAATTTACTAATCAGATTGCAGGATTTTGTATAACAAAATAAAGAAATTTTTTGAAAAAAATCAATATTGTAAAATTTTATTATAAAAACTAGCTTTGAGCTATTGAGTAAAGTTTTTAGCACCAATTTTTGCATATAAATAACCAATATTCTAACTTAATATAGTCTATGCCCTAATCCTAATCTTTAAATAATAATTTATTTATATAAAAAAATTCTATAACAATAAAGGATAGTTATAATTAGTTAAATTCTTATTTTAAATGCTTATTTTAATATTTTTGTTCAAAAAAGTTTTTAGATCTTTAAACAATTAAAAATTTTTACAATATCTGAGTATTTTACTTAATATTATAAAATTAGCAAATAGTATTAGACAAATATTATTAAAACAAAAGGTCAAAAAAATATTTTATTTACAAATATAATTATTAATAAAAATAATATAATAATAAATAATTATTATTAATAATTATTATTAAATAATTAAAATCAAATTTAAATTTAATTATACTATATATCATTTTTTTTAAAAAAATGCTAGGTTAATTGAGAAGTAACCAGTTAGTAAAATAATAGTAGAATAGTTGTTAAAAAAGTGGCTATTAGAAAATCTTTTAATAACAATTAGACAAAATTCAATAAACTTTTTTTAAAATTCTATAAATTTAAAAAAAAATTGATAAATTTGGCTTAGTAATTACTAAGATATTTTCACTCAAAGTTTAAAAAAAGTTAAATCTGAGAGGATATGAATAATAAATTTGGGTATAAAAAATAGAACTCTATTAATAAATTAATAAAACAAGTTAAATTTGTTAGTAATAGTAATTATAAATAATTTTTAAACTATAATAAAATAAAATGTTTGTGACTATAATAAAATAACTATAAATAATTTGCAAATAACTATCAATAATCTGTAACTATAATAAATATAATGACTATAAATAATTTGTAACTATAATAAAATATAATAACTATAAATAATTTATGACTATAATAAAGTATAATAATTGTAATAATTGTAAATTAATTGTAACTATAATGAGGTATTTTTAATTTTTTAATTGGTTCTATAATATTAAGTGCTTATAGATGTGAGACTATATAGGATGTGAACTTAGAGAGGTTTGACTGTATATCATATTTGAATTACAACATAATTAATATATAAGACGAATTGACCAATTAAACTGGATCCGTAGGCTAGAGAAACTTCAATTAAACAACAAAATTATCTGTTGACCAACCATTTGACCAAAGCTGGTAATATGACTTCATTTTCGAATGTTTATCATTTACATAATTGCTAGGCGTTGGAATGCCTTTAGTATTTTTGTTACGGTACTTTTTATAAAACAAGACAAAACAGAATAAACAAACTATTCCAGTAATGCCTATCACAACAAACAAAATTATCAGATTTGTAGAAATATTTTTACTACCCATTGAAGCATCTTCATTTTTATTTTTTGAATCTCCATAAATATTTGTTGGATTTCCTTGGCTTGTTATATTAGATGTATCAAATGATTTGATCCATGAATAAGTTTTCATATCAAAAATATAAATTTTATTCTCATAATATTTTGGAGATGTTTTGTTTTCAGGATCAGTTTTTCGGCCTAATATAAAAAATATCATGGAACTTTAATGAAAATTTAACCAAAAATTTTAACATTAAATATAATATCTACCGAATGCAAGTATCATGTAAATTCCATATAAATTCGCAGAATGACGGTTTAGCGGTGGTGGAGCATTTACCGTAGGAATATAAGGAATAAACCATATCCAGGTATTCGTATTTAAAATTGCAAGATCAGGATTCACTTGAAGATTGTCATTTGAACCTCCATAAATAATAATATTTACATCTTTGCCTAATTAAAAAGAAATTAAATATTGGGTATTTATCTTATATTAATGTATGTGATAGTTTTTTTTTAAAAAAAAGTTGTCTGTTTCGTGCTTAAAGATAATATCTGCTTGAAGTTGTAATTTCAAGCGTTAGAAATTAAACCTGCCTAAACTTACTAACAAATGTATGCAAGATCTAATTCCAGTGGCTAATTTCAGTCAATGCAACCTCAAGCGCTTGAAATTACAACTTCAAACAGATGTTAACTTCAAGCACGACATCTATATTTGATTATTCTCACTTAAAACTGCGGAGTGTCCAATACGAGCTTGAATAGAAGCACCACTAGCTGTCTTAAATATGATAAATTTAGAAGATTAAAATTTGTTTTTAATAAATATGAAGCAACTTAGATTTATGAATAGTTACTTTGTTAGACCAGCTTAAGGATTTTGTATCAAATATAAGAATCTATATTTAAATAATTTGGTTAGGCATTTATATTATCATGTTAAATCAACTAATAAATAAATAAATAAAC